GTTTGAACAGTGATCATGATTTGGTGATTGCAGCAATTCGGGCGACCGGCAAGGATGGCAGCCATGAGCGTGAACTAGCTGACTGGCTGCCCGTGTTTTCAAATGCAGTTCGCTTGTGGGTCACTCCATGTCGACTGCTTCTCAAGCCAACCTTGTCAATGTTGTGCAGGATCAGGTAGTTGGTATTTGGTTGAAACCATGGACCAGTCTTGTCCAAAACGATCTCTGCATTTGTGGCGCATTGTCTTTATTTGCCCCTTGGTCGCTTAGTCGCTTGGTCGCTTGGTCGCTTGGTCGCTTGGTCGCTTGGTCGCTTGCTCGCTTGCGCCAATAAACTTAAACCCATTGAGCCAAAGAAGAAAGCAAGAAGGCAAGGTGCAGGCCTGGGATGTGTTGTAATTTATGTGGCTGAGCGGATGCAGTTGTGCATGTCGTAGGCTCCAATCCAGCTTTCACTAAGGTGTCTCAAACCACTAGCCAGTTGTGAGGAGACTTTGGGGAGAACTCCGCCTGGCCTTATGGCGGAAGCTGGAGACGGCATAGCATTCTATTGGGATTGGGCCCGCCATAACCGGCTTCTTTTGGCAAAGACCCGGCCTTGCTCGCTTGCTCGCTCGCTTGCTTGCTTGCTTGCCTGCTTGCTTGCTTGCTTGCTTAGCTACTGTCTTGCGTGCTCGGCTGGTTGGTTTGCACCATTCTCGCATGCGGATCTCCAGCTCACATGGCTATCGAGGGGTGTGGTCAGGCGATCCGTTCGCATTTGAACCAAGAGTTCCAGCAGTCGGGGCCTCGTTTGGTTTCAGTCGGGTGTCAGCCGTTCGCTTTCCTGGGAGAGAATCGTGCCAACCGGGGCTGAATTAGGGCAAATTTGCAGACCTTGTAGGCTGAGAATCTGCAAGCTGGTGGGCTGCCTTTGAGATCACTTTCTTTTGGGGAGCACCTATGAAAAGAAAAATCGACTCAACACCCCCATAAAGGCCCATTCTCTCATGATCCATTTGCCGTCTTTTTCCCTGCCGCTCACCCGCTTGTGCAAGGGAGGTCAGGCTTCCCACAGGTGGCATGGAGGAGACACAAAAGCCACAGAAGCGATTCTGCAACTCCACCCTCCAAAGCCAATGCTTGGGGAAATCCTGACGGGACTTGAGGGTGATTCACCATGGACAGGCCCTTTTGGAGCGTTTCCTTCCGTGCTTTTCAGATGGGAAAGCGGCAAGTTGCGACAAGGATGGAGAGTTTGTAAAGCCCAAAGACGTGGCCACTCCCAAACGGCGTCGAACCCCTCCTCCGAAGACACTCAATATTTCAGGTTTGACTGAATATGAAGCTGAATCAAAACATATTGCTTTTGGTGCACTCTATGCACGAAACCAATTTTACGGCAGATTTGGAACTGCACCTTTGTAGGCGAGTGCACCTTGGTAAGAAGAGCCAACCCCTGCACAATTCGCCCATTTTTTTTCTGAAGCCCCCACGAAGGTCGCATTTGTCTCGTGGGATTTGGAATCCCCGAATGGAGCCCGGTTTCCTTTTGAATTCCCTTGCAATCAAGCCTGAACGGAGTTCTGTCAAAAGAAGACACATGCACCCGCAACAGCAATTAACGCAGCTTTTTGCTATCGCAACATGCTTTCGGTTGAAGGATGGAACCCTGAACTCAGGCTGCTGAAGTATAGTAAGTGTCACCCCCAGGTAGAACTTGAACACTCCAGCAATGTTGTTGCCCGTAGCCCTCCAGTGAACACTGCAACGCCCACCTAATACTTGCGTTCATGAACGCCGTAGTTCCGGTCCCATGGCGAAATCTCGTAATAGGTGATGTGTGCCAACTCGCTTAAAATTGGTCTAAGTGATGTTTAAACCAGCCAAGTGGTTGTTTTTTTAATCTTGCTGGCGCTCAGGGAATGATAAATGGAATGACCCCAATCAGAAGCATCCAACTGGTGGTTTCCTTTCAACAACTCCCCAGGTTCATTCTATTTCTCATTCCCTACCTACTTGCACCAGCAAGTTTTCTGGGTGTGTGTCAAAACTAAGCCGGAAAAAACCGCAGTGGAAGTTGCCATCCAGTGGCTGTTGCCATTTTGGGCTACTTATGTTTGACCGCAGCCACTTTCGGGGGCCCGAGGCTGGAAGCTTTGCTGCCCGCGGCCTTCGCCCGCCTGGTGTTGGGCGGGCGCGCGGGAAGCCCCGGACGCTTTGGACGTGGAGTTCGGTCTTTGGGCTCTCCTGAAATGGAAAGGGCATCAACAAGTGCAGCAAATGAATGTGAGAAAGATGGTGGTTTCAAGGTGGTTTCTTTCTTGTTCCTTCCCCCCCTTTCAGGAAACATTGTTCTACCTGCGAGAAAGGGATTTCGGAGCAAGGCTAATAAGGAAATCCTAGGCTCATGAATTAAAGGCTAGTGAAATATTGGGGAATGTGTATTGATTTGCTTAGCTCCGGCACGGGTCTTAGCTCTGGTCAATTTGGCAGATGTTGGCAGATGCTGTCTTGGACTTCAGTGTGGTCTTGTGTTGGAGAAAGTGCTGGTTCAAGGTTGGTTTTAGGCTTGGTTTTAGGCTTGGTTGGGCTATTTCAGGGTGAAATTAGGGTTTGGGTCGGTCGAGGGCCAGCCTTACGGCAGCGCACCCAGCAAAAGTCCACCGACCCAAAGCCAGCCCATCACTCCGAATCAACACAACGCCACCCCCAAGCCGAATCCCCCCCCCCCCCCCCGCGACGTGAGGCCGTCATCATTTGCTTCAAGGGAGCTGAGGCACTCGGCGCTTAGCGGAGGGTTTGGCAGTGTACACCGGAGAATGTGTTTCCACGGGGAAAACACGCTCTGAATGGTTAGCATTTTGATTTCCCATGAGCATTTTTCAAGTAAGACCTTGCCCCCCTCGAATGGTGTTTTCCTTTGACAATGATCCGCAATATCCTAGGTCCACCAGATAGCCCGTTTTTAAGTTTAGCGACGCAGCCTCCCTGCCACGAAAATAGCCTCTGTGGGAATCAAGTTATCTGCAGGTTGCGACGGTGCGGCGATGGCTGCGGCGGAATGAGGCGATTGCTCTGGCTCGCAAACTTTAGACAGAATTCCTTCCTCCCACTACTGGGCCCCTTCAAGTGAGCCGTTTTTCGTCTTCTTTTTGTGGGGCACAAAACCGCCATTGAGGACACTTTCGATGATGCCATTCGAATAGACTCAGACATAGAACCTGTAAGATGAAATTCCTCTTCAAGGGACTCTCTGTGCCATGTTTTGGTGTCCGGTGGATGTTTGGGTTTTGGCCTTTTGCTCCGCAGATTGACCTGGAATCCCACAATATATCGTATTTTGAGGCATACCCTTGAAGCATCCCGTTTGGCCCCATGCTAATTTGCAGGGATGTATGTTTTGAACATTCAGTTGTTTTCCTAGTTTCTGCGCAGCAAGCCAAATCACTTGTTCTTGGGGACACCGGTAGTAAGGATAAGTCCAGCTGGACAGGAATTGATAGCTGGTGTTGGGTGTCATCTTGTTTTTTCAGAGCATGGTCCCTTAGAGCCGGACAATCCTTGAGTACAAGAGCTTGCAGATCGGTCCCGCCGCAAGTCGGCAGGCAGCCCGCATAATGGGGTCGCAACAGAAGCCAAATGAGTCTGAATTGAGTCTGTCCCCAAGCCAACCTGGTAACCTTGTGCTCCTTTGGGTGTGTTCAGCATTTCCAGGGCACTGTTTCGGGGTTGTTGAGGGAGGAGAACCATCCATTTTGTGGGGCTTCCCTCAGAGACAAATCCTTGTCCACTTTTCATGGCAGCCAGCGTGGCTTGCAGGCAACTAAGTTGCTTTAACTTCTTGGCTCGTCCACGCGAAACCCAGGAAAGAGTTCCCACTTGGATGGGACCCCGAACCTTTTGACACGCCAAATGCTGGAAAAAGTCCTGGGTCAGCTGAGTCAGGTGAATGCCCTCTGATCTAAAGCGAATCAAAAGTTGTTGCAGTTCCCATTGCCCAGGGCGAAGAGGTTTTTTGCGCACGCGAAATGGCTATAGAGTTGAGAACGTTGGACCATTCAACCTGTTTGAGCTGGGCTGAGCCATTGTTGAAACAATGTGTGTGTGTGTGTCATAGTGTCATAGTGTCATAGTGTCATAGTGTCATAGTGTCATAGTGTCATAGTGTGTGTCTGTGTGTCTTTTTGTCTGTGTGTCTGTGTGTCTGTGTGTCTGTGTGTCTTTGTGTCTGTGTGTCTGTGTGTCTGTGTGTCTGTGTGTTTGTGTGTCTGTGTGTCTGTGTGTGTGTGTGCGCGTGTGTCTGTTTGTGTGTGTGTGTGTGTGTGTGTTTGTGTGTGTGTGTGTGGTGTGTGTGGTGTGTGTGTGTGTGTGTGTGTGTGTGTGTGTGTGTGTGTGTGTGTGTGTGTGTGTGTGTGTGTGTGTGTGTGTGTGTGTGTGTGTGTGTGTGTGTGTGTGTGTGTGTGTGTGTGTGTGTGTGTGTGTGTGTGTGTGTGTGTGTGTGTGTGTGTGTGTGTGTGTGTGTGTGTGTGTGTGTGTGTGTGTGTGTGTGTGTGTGTGTGTGTGTGTGTGTGTGTGTGTGTGTGTGTGTGTGTGTGTGTGGTGTGTGTGTGTGTGTGTGTGTGTGTGTGTGTGTGTGTGTGTGTGTGTGTGTGTGTGAGTGTGTGTGTGTGTGTGTGTGTGTGTGTGTGTGTGTGTGTGTGTGTGTGTGTGTGTGTGTGTGTGTGTGTGTGTGTGTGTGTGTGTGTGTGTGTGTGTGTGTGTGTGTGTGTGTGTGTGTGTGGTGTGTGTGTGTGTGTGTGTGTGTGTGTGTGTGTGTGTGTGTGTGTGTGTGTGTGTGTGTGTGTGTGTGTGTGTGTGTGTGTGTGTGTGTGTGTGTGTGAGTGTGTGTGTGTGTGTGTGTGTGTGTGTGTGTGTGTGTGTGTGTGTGTGTGTGTGTGTGTGTGTGTGTGTGTGTGTGTGTGTGTGTGTGTGTGTGTGTGTGTGTGTGTGTGTGTGTGTGTGTGTGTGTGTGTGACAACCCAAACCAGTCGAGGGATAGCTATGCTAAACATATCCTGAAAGCAGGGGGCCGCCGGGGGAATGCGCAGTCGGCGGCCAACGAAGACGCTGCGCAAACGTACCTGCGAACCGCACCTGGGCCCCTGACGGCAGCTGGTGGGTTCCCTCTCAAACAGATTCCAACTTAAGGCCTGGGACATCCACAACCTCTTTTCGCTTTTCAAACTCCATCTTCAGTGTATGGGGTTCGCCCCCTCGGTTCAGCCCATGTGGGTGCTGTGCCGACGTCCGCCGGCCCCAATGGTGCGCGGGGGTTGGTGAAGAGAGTTGGGCACGGCCCTGGAACCGTAGAACAGCCTTCGGGTAAAGAAACGCTGCCAGGGCTCTGCCCAAAGTTCAATCCAGGAAGGAGCGAGGTGGCTCCAGAAGTATTGTGAGAGAGAACTCGGGCAACTGCCCACGAGTGGCGGGGTATACCGCAGATGAAGCGGGGTATACCGCAGATGAAGCGGTTCCACCGCAGAGTCAATTATGGAGTATTATCTGTTCTCCTACGGCGGCCCCACCCTTAGAACATACCACAGGTGTTTGACTGGTTCCCCTTTTCAAGTGGCCCCCTTTTCAAGTGACCCTGTTTAAACGGTTCCGCCTTCCGAGTCACTGAGTTTGTCGGAGCTTTTAGCGCTTCATCGCTCGTTTTCGCGAGAGCTTTTTGATCAAACTCCCGAGTTGTTTCACCTCTTTTCTGGCTTCCCTGTTTCTGCTATGGCCTTTGATATGATACAGGCTGCGCGCAGTAAATCAAGCGCCCCACGCGACTGCTGCTCTCATGAGCACTACGGCCTTTGGCGGGTGTTTTGCTCACTCTGAGCCACCTCATGCACTTCCCCCTCACCAGGTCCCCCCTTTTTCACTTGAACAACGCCCCGATTATGTACCGGCTGATGCAGTTCCTTTAAATCCAACTTGCCCCCTCCGCGGAGTGTTGTGGCTTGGACCCACAACACTGGAGTAGCGGCAGCTGCAATGATTCTGAAAGAAGGGATTGTGCGACCCTCATGCTGGGACCCCTCTGATGATAGCTGGTTGCCGACGTGTGGGTTCTATTCAAGGGCGCATGTGGCAGAAAATTTCTCAGACTATGCATTCAGGGCTGCTCTTATATGCAGTACGCGCAAAGCTTGGGGCTACGGGGATATATGCCAGCCTCGATCAGTAGCAGTTTTCGGGAAGGCGCATTTGCGTCAGCCCCATTACACAGTCAAGCAAGGAGGTGTGCTCGCGGAGCACGCTGCAAACCTCATGTTTGATTGTGTCCACGGAACAGGAGACAAGAGATGGCTAATTAAGTCACATCTTGCTCAATGCTTAGGGCTGGCGGCGTTTGTTCCCAGGCGGTGAACCTTGATCAATGTTGCTTTCTTGCCATGTGTCAATGTTGCTTTCTTGACATGTGTTAAATGTAACACCTACTTTGGCTACACGTGGCCTGGAGCAGCGCAAACCATGACCAACTTGGAACGTAAAGAAAAGAAAAGTAATTTGGCTCTCGTGTCGTTTGCGGTCAGACTGTCACTTCACATGTCCATGCGTTTGGCTTGCTGGTTTTGAAGACCAGTCTTGCTGCGTTGCTGCGAAATCTGCCAGAGGGCGTTTGAATTGAGATGTCATAAAGCATTGAAACCGCTGTGAATTGAGATGACTTTTACCTTATCATAAGTGGTTCGAACCTAGCTAGCACTTGTCCCCCAGTTGTTTCATAGAAATGGGCCGTGGGGATTCACGCTCTCGAACCAGAGAGCGCCGGAGCCAAGCAGAAGCATGGAAAATGTCCAACAGCTTTTCGGACTCAGACACGGACAAAGACCCATTATTTTGGAATAGCGGCTCTATTTTCGATGCTAGATTTTGCCTGTTTACTCAAACAAAGACGACTTTTTCGGTTTGAAGCCACTCCGGAAACTAAGGCTGTCTACTAAGGCCACGGGTAGCTCCGCCCTTAACGGGAGCCCAGCGTGGGGGCTGTTTTGTGTACATGTTTGCGCATGTGTGCGCATTCAACGATGCCAAGGTGCATTTCTCGGTTGGTTTTGGTCGTCCATCCCCTGCTCAGCAACTCGTTTCACTGAGGAGGGCCCGTTTTCGCCCCCTCTCAAGCGAGGGCCACGGGGGGGGCCTGCCATCCTACCGTTTATCCTGGCCGTTTGGCGTGGGTGTGTGCGTGTGTGGGTGTGCGTCCCCTCCCCTCCTCAGCAACCGTTTTGCTGAGGAGGGCCCGCCTTCGCCCCCGCCTCCCCTGTGGTTCTCTCGGGTGAGGGCCATGGGGGCCCGCCATCCCGGCCGTTTTGCGTGTGTGTGGGTGGGTGTGTGTTCAAAAGAAACAACAAATGCGCCCTTTTCTCCCCTTTTTTCGGCAAGATTGAGACACCAGGGGCCCTTTCTCCTTCAGAACTTCCAGTGACAGTTTACCAGCAGTGCTCCTGCGGGAGCTGTTGTGTGTGTGACAACCCAAACCAGTCG